CGGGGGCGCCCAGGACGGCTGCCATCAAGCGCTCTGGCCCGCGCGTCCACCGCGAGCGCCCGCGCGCCCCGGGCCGTGGGAAAAGGAGGGTCTCCAGGCCTCCCCTCGGGCCTTGCGACCCTCGCGCCGCGCGTCGGGCCTGGGGCGACCTCCGGGGCCGCGGGGAGGGCAGGCGAGCGCCCCGCCAAGCGAGGAGCGTGCTGCCCGGCCTACCTGCCATGGTCTCCGGCTCGGCCCCGCCCCCAGACCCCAGGGAAAGGCCGAGTTGAAAAGCAGTCGCTCCTTCATTTGCAATAACTCGTGGAGCCTGTGAGTCCCCCGCCTTTCCTCGACGAGTCAACTATCTAGTTAATTCCTCGCCACAGCACGTTTCACTTTAGAAAAGCTGCCACGCCCAGCCCCAAAGTTAAAAGACAAACAAACTTGGTGTTTCTGACTATTGGGGAAAACGCGTCCGGATTTTTAAAAAAAGGTCCGTCTGGTCATGTTAATTACGAGAGAGGCCTGGATTCTAAGAAATGAGTTAGAGGAAATTAGGATTTATAGGAAGGGGGAAACTCTTACTAAAAGATGTGGGGGGTTATAACGGTTCCCATCTGTGTTGCAAGACGTCCCGGTGGTGCAATGGTTAAGCATTAGGAAAGTCAGTGGGAGGAAAGACCTGGCGACCTGTGCCAGCAAGGTCTGCAATTTGAGACCACCACCTGCTCGGCTGGGGAAAAAGACTATACAGTTACGGTCGCGGATAGTCCCAGGGCAAGGTCTACCCTGACCCAGAGGATCGCGTGGAGTCAGTATTAACTGGATGGAAGTGAGCATAGGGACATTTCCACTCAGATAAGGTCGCCAATTGGAATCCACTCAATGGGAGACACTCTTCAAAGCCGGGTGGAAAACTGGCGGCATGCGGTTCAGCTCCGAAGTTGAGCCAGAAACAAGAAAACCTCGTAAAGTGCTGCGGAAAATAGAACCCAATACAAGCAGCGTCGGAAGACTTCGGTGTGACACCACTCGAACAGCCACCGGAGAAAGCCGGGGTCACTTGGCGGGCGACCTGCGCCGGCCGGCGGGGCAGCTGGCAAGCACGGCGGAACGCAATTCGTCCGGGTGCCGTTTTCCCGCCGGAGTCCGGGCCCGGGGGCTTCCCCGTCGCGCAGGCGCACACATGTAACCAGCATGGACGTAGTGGTCCTCTTGTGTTCGGCTGCTGCAGTCTTGGCAGGCGGCTTTCTTTGGGTTTGGAGCGCCTTAGCAAGGAAGACCAGGCACCAGACAGGCCGGCTAAAAGCCAAGCGCCGAACTCTCCTCGTCATCGCGCACCCAGACGACGAAGCCATGTTCTTTGCTCCCACGGTGCTGGGCTTGGCCGGCCTGGGGCACCGGATGTTCCTGCTCTGCCTCACCACAGGTAGGAGGGACTGGTGGGGTCGCTGGGGACTGCTCGGTAGCCGTTTTAGGAGCCAGCCTACTGAAGTCACCTCCCCTACTGGTTTTCTAGGGTAGCGAGTGAAGTGATTAAGGTCCCTTGTGTAGGTACTGGACATGTCAAAATCATCTTGGAAAAATGAGAAGATAGAATAAAAAATACAAACTTTATTTCTTGTGCTAAACTCCCTTAGGATTCTAAAATGGGT